CTTCATTTTCAATTTCTTGTGACTTCTTTATTTTTTTTGATTTTGAGCTAGTAGGCACATTTGAAGGACCTCCAAGACATGTTTAAGGATCAAAATCAACATCATTAGTTCCAAAACCATCCAAAGATACCTGATTCTGTGACATCATATGATCAATTTCCTCAATGGTATTTTGAGGCTCATTATCATGTTGGGATGATTGCTTTTTCTTTAATTCTTTTGCAGTCTCTGACTTTTCACCTGTAGCTCGATCATTTCCAAATAGTATCACAAATGTATCATAATGTAACACTAGTTTTGTCATCCACTTTTTAGCATTATTATTAACCTACAAATCAACATTTTAAAATAAAAGTAAATAATTTAAGTCAAGCAAAATCATAGCAAAGAAATTTAAATTAAAATTGTACCTTTATTAATGCATCCCAAACTTCAAGTTCGGCACTCCATAACTTGGTAACAAGGCTCCATGAAAAACCACTAAGGTTTTTGAATAAATCATGGGATTTTGAAAAGTTTGCCTTTAAAGTTTTCATGCGATTTTTAACTTTATCTTTGTCAACCTCCTTCCCAAGTTTTTCTTTCAATTCATTAACAATATTTTCATATGCTTTTTTGGTAAAGGAACCATTTACCCTATTGCCCAAATTATGTTGATGTAGGAAAGCATCCATAAGAGCCTCATCCATTATAGGTGTTCATACTAATTTGCCTTCTTCACTTGCATTTTCAATATTACTATTTTTCTTCTTCCCACCCATACCTAAGTAAAAGAAGTTATTAGATAACTTTATTCAGTAAAAATTTATAATAAAGAACATTTATTATTTATAACATTAAAAAAAAATAAAAGTAAATAATTCAAGAACAAAAATATTAATTCAAGTCAAAAGAACAAAAAAAAATTACAAAAAGGAAAATCTAAATAACCAAAAAGTAAAGTAGCAATTTTTGTAATTGTGCCACATATCAGCAACAATAACATCTCTCAACATTTCCCCCCTACTGGCATCTTCTTCTTCCTCTCTTGAAGTACGAGTTTGTTGCAAATTTTCTTGATTTCTCAATTCCATATCTACCTTAGCTATAAGCTCTTCATTAGGATCCACACCCATTAAGAAATTGTGAATAATGCAGCAAGCTAAAATAATTAAATTTTGACTTCTCACTCCATAGAATGATTCTGTTCCACCCCTTAAAATCTCAAATCTTCTTTTCAAAACACCAAATGCTCTTTCAATAGCATTACGTAAGGTTGCATGCCTAAGATTAAATAATTCTTTAGCATTTTGAGGAGGATTATTTGAATGTTCTTTGAGATGATAGCGAACTCCTCTACAAGGAGTTATAAGGCCACTTTTTAGCATAAACTCAGCATCAACAAGGTAAAATTTTCCCTCTAGAATGATAAGCTTATCTTCTCTTTTTAATGCATCTTTAATAATTCTAGAATCTGACGCAGTGCCTTCCCATCCCGTTAACACATAGGTGAACTTTAAGTCAAATGTACAAGCAGCTAAGACATTTTGGGTTGGATACTCTTTTCTACCATGATATTTAGGGGCATCTAAGGGTGAGACTTTTACACAAATGTGTGTTCCATCAATTGCATCTACACAATCCTTAAAGTATGGGTAAAATCTACTACTTAACATTATCTCTACAGGGATTTGTGAATCATCTGGTTGTTTAATAAATTTTTCTTCAACTGCTATTATAGCTCTCAACACACTATGAAAATGTCGACTAGTAGTTTCTCCAGAACGTCGAAACCAAAATTGGATTGAGCGGTTTTTGGCATTTTTAGCTAGAATATAAAGAGTTTTAGCTACTTGTTCCTCAATAGTTCCTCTCCTTGTGGGTTGGAGACCTCTCTCCCTTTCAAGTATGTAACAGAATTGTAAAAAAACTCTAGGACCCATCCCTATGATATAACGGCTTCTATCACTTCCCACAATTTTGTTCATTATTTCATCTCGAACTCGTTCTCTCTCATTAATTATATTATCATCAAAAAGCTTCTTTTTTGGTCGACTTCAAAGAAACCACCAATAAATAACTAAGCATATTACATGAGCAATGGCTTTCCTACGCATGTCTCTCATAGCATCTATCTATATTTATAAAATACAAATTAAAATTCTATGTCATGATATATTTTAAATTCAATTATATAACTAAAAAATGAAAGAATAATCAAAGTCTCAATGTACAAATATAAATATAAGGCATTTCAATATACAAATATAAAGTATCAATTTTTATATTAGAATTACCTAGATCAATTTTGAAGGCTACTGCTGTGTCAAAACAAATTCCAACTACTGTTGTGTTAGTGCTCTTAACAGATAAATGGGGAAGACGTCCACTGCTTTTGCTAGTTGTCTCTGAAATTAATGGTTTGTGATGATATTTATTTATGAGATATAAATCAACATTCAAACAGAGATATAAATCAACATTCAAACAGAAAATCAAGTAAATCAAGCAAATAAATGTAAAAAATCAGGTAAATCAATGTGTTTGGGATGTGTGTTTTCTTTTTATGAGTGGAATGAGCATCTCGTGGACTGTGCTGCTGCTGCAAAACAATTTAAGACACAGCTGAAGATTTTTCATAGGCAACATCTTGGTTTTTAATGAAGTAATACCATATGAAGATGTTTCTTACACAGTAAGGGGTTTTGCATGCTAGTGGGTTTGAGAATTGGGAAGTGTTTGATGATCAGAACAATGAGATATGAAGAAATTGCAAAAGAGGACAGAAACCCGATATGGGTGCGGTGTCGACACCATACGGTAAGCATCCAGAAGCCTGACATGGACGTGGTGTTGACACATAATTTTGGTGTTGACACCAAATGAAAGGGCTATTCAATTATGTAAATTCATGCCTTCAAGTTGGGATGTTTATGAGTTTGGAGTACCCCTTATACTCCGTATTTCAATAAATATTATTTCTTGTTGTTCAAAAAAAAAAA